GGTCCATCACTGGAGGATTTAAGAAGAGATGAAATGATATAGGGCCTCTTGCTTGAGCAGGGGCTTGGACTAGAAGACCCCCAAGAAAAACTCTGTTTTTCTGTTAAATCTCCCAACTTTGACTTGCGGTCAGATTGTTCGTATTGTTAAAAGTTTATAAGTGGAATTATGTCTGTATTTGATTTTGATTCGAGTGCTGTATTTTTGCTTGCGTGTATTCGAATAGATAGTGTAATCTCCCATATATTTTAGTTTTTAATAACACATTGTAATTACTTTTTAGTGTACATTGTCTTGCCTCATTTTTTTTTTTAAGACGGTAATTGAGAATGAAGAATTTTACCAAATTCTCGGGAGTCCTTAAGCATTGTAAAGGATATTAATCATTGGTTACCTGTAAGATAATAAATAAGCAAAAAAATTACTACACATCTTAGCCACTGATGACTAACATTGGCATTTGTTATGTAGTTACTTCCTGTTTATTGATATCCAGGATTTGCAAATTGCAGGGAGACCATTGTCTGTCCCTGACACTGTGATGATACTGGATAATATGGGAAGTGCTGCTTCCAAGTTGGGGGGGGGGGAAACCTAAGGTAAAATAATAGCTTAAATAAAAGATTTTCAATGCACGTAGTTAAAAGGCCAAACATTTGTTGCTGGTATTACTTCAGAATTGGTCATTGCCATAATTTTCTGAGGAAGAAGGTTACTCAAACCTGTCTTCCTGAAACAGGACTCGCGTGTTTTCTTTTTGCTTATAACTATGCCTCAGAAACATGGTCACTATTTGCTTCTTTCTACATGTGCCTCGAACAAGCTGCTAATGCTTACTTTGCGTGTTTTAAGAAGCGCCTCTGTTCAAGTAATTCTGAGGGTAAAAAGTACAAGCTTATGTTTGGCCTACTTGTCATTTGGCATGTTAGATGCTCCAAAAGCATCACTGTATTTTAAAAGATGTGTATCAAATAGGAAAATATAGCTTCTTAAGAAGATTTTTAAAATAATTAATTTTAATTAATTAATGGATATTAAAATATCCATTATTGCGCCAGAACCAAATCTGTAACACTTTACGTTATAGAGCAGGGATCCCCAACCTCTGGGCTGCAGACCAACACTGGTCTGTGGCCCGCCAGGAACTAGTCCACGCAAATGAGCAAAGCCCCATCTGTGCATGTGTGGGATCTAGGCGACACACAAAACCATGCCTTCCTGTCCGTGGAAAAACTGCCCTCCACGGAGCCAGTTTCTAGCGCCCAAAATGTTGAGGGCTGCTGTTATAGAGGATAATGGGAACATATATCCACTCTTTGATAATTCCCCCTTTTTTATAGTTATCCATGCTGAGAATTTCTTACCACCCAAGTTACAGGAAAAAAATGCAGCTAATAACCATCTTCTTGCATCCAGAATGGTTTTCTGAACTGTCCTGCCCCCATCTCATCCTTCACCCAAATGCTCCTAGGAAGAAGACCAGTACCAGCTGCTTTATTTGATAATCTACAGTTTTTTAAAACAACAACGGGGTAATGAGCTCAAAGGGCTATGAAACTCTATATTTTGATTGAAGCTTGGGATAAAACTCTAGAACACAAGCTGAAAGACCCTATGTACTGAGATAGAGACATTTTAAGCTCAGGATATTTGGCATCCGTAGGTCATGACTTGCCTTTCTTTCAATAGTCTTATTCGTAGATCAAAACAAATAACCACAGGCATCTTCCTAATTCTGTAGTAGAAAACGTAACACTCAATTGTCTCCTCTTGGATGTCATGATTAAGGATTCATCTCAGGGTGACTCATTAGATGAGCAAATGGCTGGTTATGTATATGATCCAGGTGAGTGATGTCTCACTCTTCCCCGTATCTGGGAGGTAGCCAAGCAATTGCCAATGGCCCGGATGTTGACACAGGGGAGGTTCTTCTTGAAGAAGATAAATTGCTCCATCAAGCTAGAATCCAGGCATAAATGATACGCTGAAAAAGCCACTTGTTCAGGATATTGGCTGGTGAGCAAGTCGCATAGAGGTAGTTCTTGTCTTACAACAGTTCCTTTAGTGACTGTTTGAAATTACAACAGCACTAGAAAAAAGTGGCCTATGACTGTTTTTTCCACTTAGGACCATTGCAGCATCCCCAGGGTCACATGATCAAAATTCAGACACTTGGCAACTGACTCAAGTTTATGACGGTTGCAGTGTCCTGGAGTCATGTGATCCCCTTTTGCTACCTTCTGACCAGCAAAGTCAACGGGGAAGCCAGATTTCATTTAGCAACTGTGACTGACTTAAGAACTGCAGTGGTTCACTTCACAAGAAAAGGTTGTGAAATGGGGCAAAATTCACTTAACAGAAATTGTGGGCTCAATTGTGATTGTAAGTCGAGGACTACCTGTATTATCAGACAGGTAGTGCAGATTGGACATATAATAACATGCTTGGGGCTGACTAGTATTGAGCCATAGTGGAACTTAACCCTGGTTCATAACAAGTGTGATTTGAGGTTGCCATAGCTCTGCCAGTTTTACATCTAACTTTCCCAGGACCTTTTTATCCAAGTACCAAAGGCAGAATATAGCTCAGCATAGCAGCGTCTGTGCTTAAGTGACTATCTGCTCCTGAAAGCTCAGAAAACCCAGTCGTGTGTCTTTAACAACAGATATGTGGAATTACACTGGATGTGCTGAGAAATTGAATCTTGGGTTAGTCCAGTGTTTCTCAACTTCGGCTGCTTGAAGGTGTGTGAACTTCAACTCCCAGAATTCCCCAGCCAGCTCCACAAGCTGCCAAGGCTGAGAAACACTGGGTTAGTCTAATTTAATCTGATGTTGCTTAGCATCCTCTTCTTCACACTCAGTGGAAACGATTATTGTACAGCCTCTATAAGAAAACTAGTGGCAGCTTCAGTCATTATGATAATCTTAGTATTGGTCTGTCCCCTACTAAGGTCTCCTTGCACGATTAAATGGAGTTAGTTTAGCAACAGAACTATTGCTGTCAAATTGCTCTTGACTTCATTTGACCTGTCTGCCTTTGACCCCAAAGTCATAGTTGAGATTATCTGCTCAAACAGTTATTCAACACACATTAACCTCTTCTGATGTTTTGAGGTCCAATATTTTAGAATGGAAACATACCCAGCTGCCTGGATGCTATATAGCAGGGGTCCCCAACCCCTGGTCCATGAATCTGTGTCGGGCCGCAGCATGCCAGCAACCGGTCCACACAAACAAGCAAAAACCCCTCCGCGGGATGCAGGCAGCACACAAAACCACGCACCCTCCCGTCCGGGGAAAAGCCTTTCTCCACGGAACCGGTCTCTGGGTGCCCAAAAGGTTGGGGACCTCTGCTATATAGTGTAGATGCTGGTGGCAGATGTCCATTTGGACTCTCTTTACCTCATTTGTGCAGTGAGAGAAATATAAAACACACTTTCTTTATCATTAGTGGAATAAATGGTGGTGAGGTTAATGTTCATGTTGAAATCTATTTACAGTAGATTGTTTTTCCTGAATAAGTGATATAGCGAGTGCACCACTTATGCTAAGGGCAATATATGAGAAGATCTAGATAATCTAGGTCTCCAAGGAAGATGGGCGATTAAGAAATATAAAATGTAAATAATAATTGGTTGAATTAGGTTGAGAACATGCCAGACTCTCTTATCTTCCACCATATTTGATGATTGATCATCCATGCTGTCATCTACATGAAGTCTAATGCCTTAAATCACAATACCACTAATGGTTCCTTGACAAGGTATGCCATGTTCTGCTGATTCATAGCTTGGATTGTAGAAGAGACAGGATGATATCTAAAGTGGTACTGTAGATGTTCTCAGAGTGTGTTGCCTTTCCTCCTGCTGTATCTTCATTGCGGTAGGTCGTAGCTAGGAAGCACTACCTCTCAGCTTCAGGCTTAAAGTACACATCCTTGGGTGTAGAGCATGTTTACGTGTGTGTATTTTTGTGTTTTAGCCTTTTGTGTTTATGGATGGTCTGGTGGGTTCTCTTGAATGCAGCACCTCTTATTCTGGACTAGATTTCAGAGGAGGCAATTCCTCCTGTGTTTATCCTCCATGCTGGCCCGTTCACAGGGAGAGGTGGTCTTACATTTGTGTCAGGGAAGAGCTTGTCCCCAGGACTGGGGCCCAGCTACACCCTCCTCTGTCACGGGGCTAGCTGATGCCTTTATTCTGCCCAACAGTTCTTACAATGAAGCTGTCTTGTTGTAAACACCTTCCCCTCCTCCCTTGGGGGATTAGAACACATTCCCAGCTCTTCTTCTGATTTCTGAAATTGCTACACAATTTTAGCCATTGTTACACTGTTTACAGTGACCAGTGTTTCTCAACCTTGACAATTTTAAGGCATGTGGACTTCAACTCCCAGAATTCCACAGCCAGCATTGCTGGCTGTGGACTTCTGGGAGTTGAAGTCCACGTGCCTTAAAATTGTCAAGGTTGAGAAACACTGGTACACAGACATTAAAACTACCCTGTTAACAGTTAACAGAATAAAAATAAACAGAAGATTCAAATAATATATCAAGATCATATAATGCATATCTATCTTGTGGACAGGTGTGCTCTCTTTTTAACCACAGTTTGATTTCTGCAGCCTGTATGACATTCTATATAGTTTTTCTATGTTTCTGTAGGGCAGTGGTTCTCAACCTGTGGGTCGGAGACCCCATTTGGGGTCGAACGACCATTTCACGGGGGTCGCCAAACAAGGCTGTCCGCCATTTTCTTCCCCTTTTCTTTGGCCACGCCCCTGGAACCCGGTGATGTATAAGTGGTTGGGGGTCACCACAACATGGGGAACTGTATTATGGGGTCGCGGCATTAGAAAGGTTGAGAACCACTGCTGTAGGGTGATGATATATGTGTATATTCTTCACTGAAGTTTAGTTATATGGAGTATGGAGTTAGACATCCCTCTCCCCAAAATTGGCTGATCTTCTTTTTTTTTTTTTTTACTTTTATTTTTTAGAAATATTTTCTACTTTTATCAACATGGAAAGCTCAGAGGCTAATAATAAAGGAAATATCAATCAGTCGGAAGCTCAGCGCCGGAGTCAGCTGGACCGGTTGGACCGAGAAGAAGCTTTCTATCACTTTGTAAATAATCTGAGTGAAGAAGACTACAGGCTGATGAGAGATAACAACTTACTAGGCACACCTGGTACGCCGCTTTCTTAGCTTGCCATTCAGACAGTAAGAATCTTGCCGTCCTGCTGTTAACCCAGCAGTTATTTAATTTCAGTCGCTCACGATGGTTGTCATAGAGTCATAGATCTGGAAGGGACCTTGGAGGTCTTCGAATCCAACCCCCTGTGAAAGATAGGAGTCCTTATAGCAGTGGTTCTCAACCTTTTTAATGCCGCGACCCCCCAACCGGTCGTAAGTCGAGGACTACTCAACCGGTCGTAAGTCGAGGACTATTCCACTGGTGCAGCACCGTTTGCAGACTGGGACTTTTGGCGGGCTCAGCAGGGCAGAGACAGCCTGGACAATTCCTATTGGCTTTGGAAAGCCAATAGAATTAGACTCTATTCAAGAGAGTCTCTTCTATTGGCTTTCAAAAGCCAATAGAATAAAAGGGAGTAGCACGGCTAAGGAAAAGGGGAAAAAATGGCGGACTGCGTTGTTTGGCGACCCCCGTGAAATGGTCGTTCGACCCCAAATGGGGTCCCGACCCACAGGTTGAGAACCACTGCCTTATAGCATCCTGGACAAATGGGCGTCCAAATTTTTCTCGAAAAGCTCCATCAAGGGAGCGCCCAGAACTCCGGGAAGCAAGCTGCTTTATTAATTAATCGTTCTCACTGTTGGGAAGCTTCTCCTTAGTTCCAGATCGTGTGTTGCCATCAGGTGCTTTGGAGTGTATGGGATTACGTGCATGTTTTGTATTAGTTATGCTAATATACCCAGGTACCTCCAGTATAGACTTCCAAAAGAGCTTAATCTCTGCAATAAATACAACTGCAGATTTCCATTCTTCTCTTAAAAACCACACATCAAATCTTCCTTTTATTCTTTCCCACTCAGAAGAAATTATTGTAATTGTTTTTAATCGTTTTACAATTGGTTGCCACCCAAAATCATTTGTTTGAGTTGGGCGGCAGTAGAAATGAAAATAAATGAATAAAATAGATTTTTTTTAAAAAAAAAGAAAAAGCTAGCCATCGATTCTCTTGAAGAAAAATTGCAGTATCAAAGCAAAGTTTATAGAATGATTCTCTTGAAAGAAAATCCTGTACAGATGCTAAGATGTTCGTGCTGTTAGTTAACAGATAAGAATCTACTAACTGTTCAGTAATCTTTCCATGGTGGCACATTTGGTAAAGACTTTGCTTGCTAATATAATAATTGAGCTATTTCCAGGAGCAATGCTATCTAGAATTTCTTACCCATTAAACATTTGACATTCCCACCCACCGCTTCTAATAGGTGAAGGCATAGTGGGCATCAGTAGCAAGTGCTGGTCAGCCACCTGATTTTGACCATGTGGATAGCTTTATATTTTATAATGTTAAAAGCTGTATTTTGTTTATTGGGCAAGCGTTTCTTGATCTCTTCCCCTGCTCCCCCTCAGCAGCTGAGATAAGACCATTTATTTCCCTTTCTTGCTATTTTGCTCTCTGTGTAGATTCAATATTTTTTTCATGCTCTTTCATACGGACCTCCCTTAGTAATAGTCTGTTTCAGTGGTAGCGAACCTATGGCACGGGTGCCAGAAGCAGCACTCAGAGCCCTCTCTGTGGGCACACGTGCCATGCCCCAGAGATGGCAACTATCCCTCTTCAACTAGCTGCCCGCTAACTTGCCGAGGTCCCACGTGGCCAGATACATCCCAGCATGGCTGGTTTCCCTCCCCCCCATCCCATCCCTCCTGGCCTCGCATGCTCTCCTTTTCCAGGGCACGACCCACTGCATCGCCTCCTCAGCTGTCGGCCGGCCGTCCAGCTCAGAGGCGACTTCTCTGTAGTGGCGGGCTGCGGAGCCCCAGAGTGCACCGGTCAAGGGGCCAGCAAGCTGTGGCTGCTGACAGACACTGTCAGCCCCCATGCGCTCGCTGGCCTCTGTGTGCGGGGGCCGATGGTGTCAGGCAGTCTCGCCTTACCCTGCTACAATGGCACCTCACCCTGCCTTGCCTTGCCTTGCCTCACCCCGCAGGACAAGCCTCCTGCCCCACCTGCCGGAAACCCCCTGGATCTCCCCCAACTCTGCCCAGCCCCCACAGGCGTTGCTCCCCACAAGCAACATCAAGGTGACCAGGCCTACCTTGGCCACACCCACCCAGTCTGCCATGACCACCACAGCCACGCCCACCCAGTGAGCCACGCCCACCTGGCACCCGGCGATAAATAAGTGGGTTTTGGGTTGCAGTTTGGGCACTCGGTCTCTAAAAGGTTCGCCATCCCTGGTCTATTTTATAAACGACCCTCCGTTCGTTTTCCTGAGTATGAGTGTTGCAGTTCTCATTTCTTGCCCTCTGCTCTTTACTGCACATGCCGTGCTGAGCAGAACTGAGCTTGCTCTGTTCTTTTCCCAGGCGGAAGTAGGCAGGCCAAATTTCTGCCTTCTAAAGTGTCTTCTCCCTCCGTCTCTCTCCTGGCGGTTTTGCTTTTCTCTTCTTCAGTCCTGTACGGTAACTTTTCAAAGAAGGGCGGTTGGGCGTATTGCCATATGTGGTGGGGAGTATTGCCAAAATCATCACGGCCCTTTAAATGAAAATACACTCCCAATGTTAAATAGAGAAAGAATAATAAGTAATCTCGGTAAACGCATCTCTGCTTTGGTTCCCCTAGTGTTGCTGCACATGAGTGTGAATGACTTTCTCAGGAACACCTGCCCATTGTTTCCTCAGGTGAAATTACGGAAGAAGAGCTGCTAAGAAGGCTGCAGCAAATTAAGGAAGGCCCACCCCAGCAGCCCACTGAAGACAGCAGAGGTACGCACTGTTCTTCTAACGTTCCTATGGTAATAGTCAGATTGCACACCGCACGACTTACAAAAGAAGCCTTTTGAATTTAGCCGTTGTGCTTCTGTGGCTAAATCCTGTTGGGCCTTTGACTTCTGCTGTGGTGCAGTTTCTAGAGCTTACGTATTCCTCTCCTCTGAAACGGCTTCTACAAAGAGAGGCGGGCTGCCCTGTTCTTTTTCTCCTTTGTTCCTGGCTTAAGAGAGTGCGGTGGTGAGCGTTTGACTCTGCCACGAACTTATTCCAAGCAGGCCTGCTTTAGCCATGATAACTGCACGTGCCGATCTGATATCTTGGTTCGAATCTCTCTGGCCAAGTGTGCAGCCTTGATGTGATAATGTAGAAGCAGTCCTGATGAAGCCAGATGCTGGGCTTATGCAATGTTGCATGGATAAATTATTGCCTGGCAGATGCTCTAGTTTAGGGAATGGAATTCATTACAATTATCATAGTCCATTATCTTATTTCCTGACCTTTAGGAAATGGTCATCTTGACTGATTTGCTGAAGTGTTCAATACTGGACAAAATATTATTTGTTGGTACAGTCTATTAAAGGTGATGAAATTAATCTGTCCCACAGATATTGCTGTGATTAATTTAGGAAGGTATGGTGAGCTAAGCATGTATGGTGTCCAAAACCTGGAAGAACACATATTTGTACCGTGGCCAAGAACCTTATTTTCTAAGATCGTAACTTGTAAAGGGTTTGGAGAAAGTTTTTAGCCCAGAATTGTTTCATTCATCTAACTATAGCAGTTACTTTCCTTTGGCAGGTGGCGAATCCGCAGAAGATGTATCTAATGGTGATTCCATAATAGATTGGCTTAATTCAGTTCGGCAGACTGGAAATACGACACGGAGTGGGCAGAGAGGCAACCAGTCATGGAGAGCAGTAAGCCGGACTAATCCAAACAGCGGGGATTTCAGATTTAGTTTGGAGATAAACGTCAACCGCAATAACGGGAACCCAAGTACAGAAACGGAGGGCGAGCCACCCGTAGAAACCCCCACCGGAGAGGATCTAGAAAACAGCCAAAGTGACACTGAGACCTCGAGGTCTGCCTCCCCCCCGGCTCTAAGGCCGAGCTCCTCCCCTCCCGTGGCCAGGCCGCCTGACTCGGAAATGAGTTATCCTGAAGAGCTGATTGAAGACGTCTCTCTCCAGAGAGGCCAGAGAAGGTCAAGAAGCAGAAGCCCCGAACAACGGAGGACACGGGCAAGGACTGACAGAAGTAGATCCCCTCTTAATCCAGTGAGTGAATCTCCGCGCAGGATACATCACAATACATCCTCTCAAACCCCTGATCTCCCCTCGGTCGGCGAAGCAGAAGGAAGTTCTAGAACAAGGCAGCACATGGTCATACGTCAACATGCAGCAAATCCCGAGGCACCCAGTGAAAACACGGTTCTCTTTTCGACCTCTGAAGCCAGGCCCGTCCCCCAGGCGGCGAGCTCTTCGGAAACGAGCGGCAGCGCGGACCCCCCAGCCCCTGGACAGAGACCTCCGACCATCGTCCTCGACTTGCAAGTGAGGCGGGTTCGTCCAGGAGAATACAGGCAGAGAGATAGCATAGCCAACCGAACGCGATCAAGGTCCCAGACTCCGAACAATACAGTCACGTACGAAAGCGAGCGAGGGGGGTTTAGACGTACCTTTTCACGCTCGGAAAGGGCGGGCGTGCGAACTTATGTCAGCACCATTAGGATCCCTATTCGCAGAATCCTGAACACGGGCCTGAGCGAGACCACCTCGGTTGCCATTCAAACCATGTTAAGACAAATCATGACCGGTTTTGGTGAGCTCAGTTACTTCATGTACAGCGACAGTGACACTGATCCCGGGGTCTCCGCACCAGCCCCAAATGTAGAAGTGGCCGAGCCCCAGGCTGGAGGGGGCGGCGGGAACAGCCATTTGAGCCCCGAAGGTCCTGAGGCTGGGTCAGCAGAGGCCTACGAAGGCAGCCCTGAAGGGGGCCCCACGCCTGGCCCGAGACGGGAAGGGCGGAACGCGAGGGGGTCCGTTACTTTTGAAGAAAGCGGCTCCTTGCCATTCCTTAGCTTGGCCCAGTTCTTCCTGCTCAATGAAGAAGACGACGACCAGCCCAGAGGACTCACCAAAGAACAAATTGACAACCTCGCCATGAGGAATTTTGGCGAGAGCGATGCTCTGAAAACCTGTAGCGTTTGTATCACCGAATACACCGAAGGGAATAAGCTTCGAAAACTCCCCTGCTCCCACGAGTATCATGTGCACTGCATAGATCGCTGGCTATCCGAGAATTCCACTTGCCCAATTTGCCGCCGAGCCGTCCTCGCTTCGGCTAACCGGGAGAGCGTGGTCTAAGCCACCATGGTATCCTTTCAGCTTATTACACGGTGAGGGAGCAACGGGCAAGACGCTGCTTGCAACAGCCACTTTTTGTGTGGTGGTTATAAATACAAAACAAAGAATAGTGTGATTTCCTCTTATGAAATGGAATTTCTTTTTTATTTTAAAGCAAAAAAAAAAAAAAACCTTCTCAATTAGGGTTCCTAAAATAAGACCAGGTTTGTGTTGTCAATTAAAAAAAGGAAAGAGAAAAGTCTGTATTTGCCCAAAGACACTTGGCTGTTGTATAGTTTCAGTTTCTCAACACAAATCAAGTTGTCAATCCCTCCTGAGCCTACTGTGTGTTGAATGCTGGAGGCCTCGACTAACAGGAGTTATTTAGCTGTATACAGCCTGTGCTTCACTGTGGATTAAAGCAAAACCAACTCCGCTCCCCTGGCAGAACAGTGAAATTAATCTCCCATGTCTGATTTTAGCTCCTTTCTTGTATAGGGTATATTGAATATGGTAATGTAAATAACACTAACCTCAGCCCCTCTCCCATTGTACAGCTGTCTTAAGCCCAACACTATGGCACGCCATAGAATGACCTGATAGTTTAACTGGGATATTTATCTTGCTGTGGAAATATCTTAATTAATTGCTTATGCTTGTTTAAATAAACACTTTTGTTTTAAAAACAGTAGAGCTTTTTGTACAGGTCAGTGACTTTTCCACTGCGCTTTTGTGCAAACATTTTCAGAATTTAACCCTCCCCTGTGTTTAGCCACAAGAGCACACGGTGTGGTTGCCCACTCTGGGCAAGCCTCATGGCAAAGAGCCCAGCTTTCATCCGTATTTATTATTTTATAAATAAATAAATAAACATTGGGAATTAAGGTAACTTGAGCCGAGCAAGGCCTCTGAGGCCTAAGATGCCTGCATAGTTGGATGCAAAGCGCTTTTTGGAAAGATTAAAGATGGCACATTTGCTGCTGCAACAGCGGCTTGGCTCACCTGAGCTTTCCCAGTACAAATTTTCACGATGAACACTTTATGTATAAAGTCAGGTTGTACGATAGGTTGCATTTGCACAACACACTCGAGCAAAATGTGATTGCTAGCTGTGCAAATCCACGTCGGTGTGGTTAGCTAATGACTCCGTACATTGTTAAACAATGTAATTGGATTGAGTGGGATAACCATGGTTCAGTTGGCCAGTGCAAGTTGCTGGGCCTTCTTTGATCCCAGCTTTGCAAAGGTAGCTGGTTGTGTTGTTTTGGCATTGTGAAATCTGCTTATTCTCCATCTTGCTCTTAACGCAGACGTTTTCTTTGTGCACCATATTTCTAACCACTGTGCATCAGGCATTTGTGGCTTTCAGCAAAACTTCTTTCTAGTGACTTGTATACTTTTAATTGGGATGTTTTAAAAGTTGTATCTCTGAAAGTTTAATTCCTTGCTTGGAGGTGGAAGAGAAGCTCTTTGGATAAAACCTATTGGGATTTTTTTCCCTCTCAAGCAAGTGTTTTATCAAATTAAATCTTACGAATACATCAATTAGTCTTAAGGCAACTGCTTGGAAACACATCAGATTGTTTCTTCTATGCTGTATATATCCTAGGAATAATTTTTATTGAGTAAATAAATTGTGCTTTTGCTTAGATTTTGCTACCGTTTTTATCTTCCGTTATGATATGCAAAGAAATGATTTTTCATTGGATATTAAAAAAAAATACACAAAGCACTTTTCTGCTGTGCCTAGTTAAAAATTGCAGCACGTTTGCTCCCTCCCTTACTGCCTCAAAAAATTGGATTGTAATTAACATCAGTGTTTTTGCTTCTCAAATGAATATTCTTACAAATGAATATTCTTTAAGTATTATTTTTTTTAATTAAACATGCAGTTATAAATAATTGCAAACCTATTGGGACATTTTAGTTTTAAACTTTGACAGCAATAACTGGAAGTAAATCTGTAGGACATTCAGAAATGTGATCGATTTGTTTCAAAACTTGCATTGAACATGGGATCTCTGCTGTTGCTTTAGTTACATCCTAACTGGATCCTTAAAGATTCAGTGACACCCATGGATTGGTTACCTTTTTTTCTTGGCCTAAAGACGAGCCCCCCCTGTAGGACCCAGTTTTTGTTCCTCGTTTGCAAAAATCACCTCAGATTATTATCTGGTTGTCTATGCAGAAAAAGCTAACAGCTTTCCATAGTTTTGATTTCTTGTTCTTTCTGCCTCCATTTTAATAAAGTAAGCATGGAAGCTTAGGCTGGTTTTAGTAACGCAATAAAAGAGAATATCGGTAGCTCAGGCTGAACTGTGGGATCCTTGGTGCTGTCTGAGCTGGATGGTTTTCTTGTAGACATTTCATGATCCAACTAGGTAACATTATCAGTGCTAGAAGGAAGCGGGGTTTTCTCCCTGTTTATACACAATCGAGTATGAACAATTACAACTATATACCATTGTATATAAACAGAGAGAAAACCCCACTTCCTTCTAACACTAATGATGTTTAAGAACTTGGCCTGCATCAGTATAATTCTCTTGGTTGCCTTACAGCAGGGGTCTTCAAACTTGGCCCTTTTATGACTTGTGAACTTCAGCTCCCAGAATTCCTCAGCCAGCATGTCCACAAGTCATAAAAGGGACAAGTTTGAAGACCCCTGCCTTACAGTTTTCTTAAAAGCTCCGTCGTACAAATGAGGCTGAAAAGCCCAAACATTGGCATTATCCTTTTCAGCTGTTCTTTGTGGCAACATATTCAGTGACCTATTGACCACCATCCAATATGGTACCCCCCGAAATGTGTTGGGACTTCAATTCCCAGAATTCCCAACAATTGTCCCAATCCTCTGGAAAACCTCCATAAAAGGCTATCAAAATTCTTACAACACATTACGCTATTGTTAAAGTAATGGGCTGTGTTTGCATAAGTCTACACCGGGAGGGGGGGTGTCTCCGAATTCTGGGAGTTGAAGTCCACAAGTCTTAAAGTTGCCAAGTTTGGAGGTTCTCTGGTCTAAACTGTGCTTGAAAAACCACAGTGGGTGGATGTGCAGAACCTGCAAAACCAAAACATGATCTTTGTGATGTATGGGTTTATCTGACTCACGTTTTGAAAATTAAAGTCCTTGGTGAATCGAGTTTAATGACTTCGTGGGAAACCCACTTTGGAAGCGAGATGGCCACTAACTCCTAGGATGTTTTCCTGATAACTCAATGTAATGTACAGTCCTCGGGTTTTCTGGATGTTCTACCAAGCCTCAAACAGGTCAGCTGAAATCAAAGATGGAAACTCCAGGGAGCAAAAGAGAGGAGAAGAAGCCCAAGTGTCTAAATTCAAGGCTCTTTTTTGGGGGGGATCTTTCATTCTCAGCAAGGGTTGTTACTTCCATTCATTCTCCAACTGTTCTTTTTATAATTATGGCATGGCTTAGGTGGAAGTCCCTGAACAGGATTATCATTAAAAATGGGTGGGTGAATTCTTAGAACCACCTTGCAGAAAAAGTCTGTTACTCAGCGAGGAAGAGTAGTCCGCAAAATCCTGAGGAGGTTTTTTGTGGCCTGAAGAAGAGTGTGATTCTGCTAGTGCGGTAGGTCAGTGGTAACGAACCTATGGCAGGCGTGCCAGAGGTGGCACTCAGAGCCCTCTCTGTGGGCACGCGCGCCATGTACCGCAGGCCACTTTAGCTGACTGTGTTCAGCAGGTCAGCGGTTCAAATCTCACCGGCTCAAGGTTGACTCAGCCTTCCATCCTTCCGAGGTAGGTAAAATGAGGACCCAGATTGTTGGGGGCAATGTAAATATATATATATATACATTGCTTACTGGTGTACACCGCTTAGAGAGTGCTCGCACTTAAAGCGGTATATAAGTCTCATAAATAAATAAATAAATGCCCCGGAGATGGCAACCGTCCCTCTTCAACCAGCCACCCGCTAACTCGCTGAGGTCCCACATGGCCGGATGCATCCCAGCACAGCTGGTTTCCCTCCCCTCCGTCCCATCCCTCCTGGCCTCGCATGCTCTCCTTTTCCCAGGCACGGCCCACTGCATCGCATAGCTGTCGGTTGGCTGTCCGGCTCAGCTTCTCTGAACTGCTGATGGCGGGCTGCGGAGCCCCAGAGTGCACCGGTTGAGGGGCCAGCAGGCTGTGGCTGCTGACGGACACTGTCAGCCCCCATGCGCTCGCTGGTCTCTGTGTGTGGGAGCCAAAGGCAGCCGCCGCCCCGGCCCCTACCCCGCCTTGCCCTGCGACAATGGCACCCCTGCCTTGCCTCGCCTCGCCTCACCCCGCAGGACGAGCCTCCTGCCACCACCCCATCTGCCAGAGACCCCCTGGATCTCCCCCAACCCTGCCCGGCCCCCACAGGCATCCCTCCCCACGAGCAACATCAAGGTTACCATGCCCACCTTGGCCACACCCACCCAGTCTGCCATGACTATCAGCCACGCCCACCAGGCACCCGCGATAAGTAGGTTTTGGTTTGCAGTTTGGGCACTCGGTCTCTAAAAGGTTCGCCATCACTGCGGTAGGTCATGGGGCTTTAACATCGACATTTGCAAATAAGGACTTAATCACTGTGTATTCTCTGCTTGTGGAATTGGCTCACCATGGTTTTAAATCAACATTTTATAGCCTTCAACTTTCCCCAGTTTGGTACTTCAGGAATTCTTGAACTATATCAGGTTTGGAAAGTTGGCAAGACAGGGCTGCGTGTCATAAAAATAACGGGATGTAGAACATCGAAACTCATAATTCTTGGGCCTGTCGGTCAACCTTGAGGTTCACATTTTGTGAAATGGTAATAAGTCTTTAGTCACAATTCTCATAAAGGTATCTATTGGTGCCTGGTTAAAACATCACAATGTACTGGTAGTCCTTGACTTACGACCACAATTGAGCCCAAAGTTTCGGTTGCTAAGTGAGATATTTATTAAATGAGTATTACCCCATTTTACTTTCTTGCCACAGTTGTTAGGTGAATCACTGCAGTTGCTAAGTCAGTAACACGGTTGTTAAATGAATCTTCCTTCCCCACCACTGACTTTGCCTGTCAGAAGGTCGCAAAAGGGGATCACGTGACCCCGGGACACTAACCATCATAAAAAGGAGTCAGTTGTCGAGCATCCAAGTGTAAATCATGGGGACGCTGCAGTGGTCATAAGTGTGAAAAATGGTCATGTCACTTTTTTCAGTGCCGTTGTAACTTTGAACAGTCACTAAACGGAACTGTTGTAAGTCAAGGATTACCTGTGCAGCTTTTTATGAGAAGAAAAACATGTTTCTACACCCGGTTCAGGCCTATCTACGTTCTTGCAACTGGTTGACTGCTGATCAAGTACCCCATACTTTACTATCTACACCAGGTGGCAGCCCAGAAGGACTGGTCAAACCAGGCGTGGAACCTGTTAGCTTGGCAGGTGAGCAGGTGAGCCCTGTGTCAACAGCACTTTGTATGCACCAATGCTACAGCAACAGTAGCATCAACTCCCCTACTGTGCACCTCCTTGCCTGAGAGCGGTGATGCATACCTTAGTGTGTTCATGTATTACTCACGGGAATGATGCATCCTTTAAGACCGAACAAATTTTCTACAGGTTGTTCCTGGATAAAGTTTATAAATGGCCTTTTGACCCGAGGAATGTGAACTAGGCCAGAAGTCTCCAACACCTGGTCCATGGACTGGTACCAGGCCACAGCGTGGCAGCAACTGATCCACACAAACAAGCAAAGCCCCATCTGCGGGACACAAGCAGCACACACAACTACGCCCCTCCGATCCGTGGAAAAACCTTTCTCCACATGGAACCGGTCCCTGGTGCCCAAAAGGTTGGGGACCTCTGAACTAAGCAACTCTTTTTTTTGCAACGAAACCGTCCGGACAACACCGAGACAAGCCAATTACCTTCCTTGCCAGACCAAGGGCTTTAACGACACGGCCAAGCGGGACAGTGAGCACAAGATCAGATGCTTACAAACATGGTAAATATCGAGAATGTGTGTCTGTGGCCGACTTTGCTCAGGACAGGGCCAGAGGGGTCAAGTTTAAAATCTCACGGAAATTGGAAAAGTTACTCCAGCTCTGCTTGACCTCCGCTGGAAGGCTTGAGGGGCTGTGGCAAGACTGGGTGAGGAGAGGGATAGATACTGGCAGTCCTCGACTTACGAACGAAATTGAGCCCCAAATTTCTGTTGCTAAGCAAGACAGGTAAGTGAGTTTTGCCTCACTTGACGACCTCTCTTGTCATAGTTGTTAAATGAATCACTGCGGTTGTTAGTAACACGGTTGTCGAGTGAATCTGGCTTCCCCATTGCCTTGGCCTGTCAGGCCCTCAAAGGGGGTCACGTGGTCCCGGGACACTGCAACCGTCGTAAATATGAGGCAGTGGCCAAGTGCCTGAATTTTGATCCTGTGACCCTGGGGAGGCTGCAACGGTCATAAATGTGAAAAACTGTCCTAAGTCATTTTTTTTCAGTACTGTTGTCATTCCGGTCACTAAATGAATAGTTGTAGGCCAAGGATGACCTGCTGTCTATGTTTTCCTTCTGCCTAAATCTTTGGATGTTGAACACAGCCGCCTGGGAGGCCATGCTCCACCCTCCGCTCAAGAGGAGCAGTTTCCACACATAACTTGGCATTTTTATCTTGTGGAGGTTCAAGATTGCCATGCTAAAGCCTCTCATTTGGCTGTCATTGATTTATTTATTAAATTTCTGTGCCCCCCCCTCAAGTGACCCAGGACTCTGTCATTCATTCTTGAGAGAAGGGGACTTTTGCCACTGTGTTCCAAATAGCAATAGCACGTAGTTTTATATACTGCTTCACAGTGCTTTACAGCCCTCTCTAAGCGGTTTACAGAGTCGGCATATTATTCCCAACAATCCAAGTCCTCATTTTACTGACCTCAGAAGGATGAAAGGCTGAATCAATCTTGAGCCAGTCAGGATCGAACTGCTGGCAGTGAGCAGTGAATTAGCCTGCAATACTGCATTCCAATCCCTGCAATCACAGCTCGGCAGGAAGAAAAATGGAGGGAGGGAGGGAAGGAAATGGGAAAGACAGGGACGGTAGAAATAGCAATAGCACTAGACTTATATACCGCTTCACAGTCCTTTATAGCCCTCTAAGCAGTTTACAGAGTCAGCATATTATTCCCAATAATCCAAGTCCTCATTTTCCTGACCTTGGACGGAAGGCTGAGTCAACCTTGAGCCAGTCAGGATCGAACTCCTGGCAGTGGGCAGAGTTAGCCTGCAATACTGCATTCTCACCGCAGCTAACCACTGTGGCAAAGTCA